AAGGATCGCTTAAGGTCAAGGCTGCAGTGACAGAGTGAGACCCTGACTCAATAATAATAATAATAGACTGGGCTCGGTGGCTCAGCCTGTAATCCCAGCACTTTGGGAGGCAGAGGCAAGTGGATTGCCTGAGCCCACGGGTTCAAGATCAGCCTGGGCAACATGGTGAGACCTCGTCTCTACAATAAATAAAAAAAGTAGTTGGGCATGGTAGTGTGCACCTATAGTTCCAGCTACTTGGAAAGCCGAGGAGGAAGGATCTCTTGAGTCCAGCAGGTCAATGCTGGGGTGGCCGTGAGTGTGCCACTGCACTCCAGCCTGGGTGACAGAGTGAGACTCCAACTCAAAATAATAATAATAATAATGATAATAATAACAATAACTTAATTAAACTAAAGAGCAAAATAAATAATCAACAGAGGCCAGGTGTGGTGGCTCATGCCTGTAATCCCAGCACTTCAGGAGGCCAAGGTGGGAGGATTGCTTGAGCCAGGAGTTCAAGACCAGCCTAGGCAACATAGCGAGACCTCATCTTTACAAAAAATTAAAAAATTAGCCAGACATGTTGGCATGTGTGCCTGTGTTCCCAGCAACTTGGGAGACTGAGGCGAAAAGATTGCTTGAGCCCAGGAGGTCAAGGCTGCAGTGAGCCATGATCGTGCCACTGCACTCCAGTCTGGGTGACAGGTGACAGAGTGAGACCTTGACTCAAAAAATAAATAAAAAAAAAAATCAACAGAGCAAATAGGCAACCTACAGAATGGGAGAATATATTTGCAAACTGTATTTTTTTTTTTTTTTGAGTCAGAGTCTCATTCTGTTGCCCAGGCTGAACTGCAGTGGTATGCTCATGGCCACTACAGCCTCAACATGCTGGGCTCAGGTGATCCTTTCACTTCAGCCTTCTAAGTAGCTGGAACCACAGGTACATGCCACCACACTCAGCTAAAATTTTTTAACTGATTTTAGAGGCAAGGTCTTGCCATGTTGTCCAGGCTGGTCTCGAACCTCTGGGGTCAGGCAATCCTCTCTCCTCCACCTCCCAAAGTGCTGAGTCAACGCACCTGGCCACAAGCTATACATCTGACAAAGGACTAATATCCAGAATCTACAAAGAACTCAAACAAATCAGTCAGGAAAAAACAAATGACCCCATTAAAAAAGTGGGTAAATGATATGAACAGATATCTCTCAAAAAAAGATGTACAGGGCCGGGCTCAGTGGCTCAGCCTGTAATCCTAGTACTTTGGGAGGCCGAGGAAAGTGGATTGCCTGAGCCCATGGGTTCGAGACCAGCCCAGGCAACATGGTGAGACCTCATCTCTACAATAAAATAAAAAAATAGCCAGGTGTGGTAGCGTGCATCTGTAGTCCCAGCTACGCAGAAGACTGAGGCGGAAGGATCGCTAGAGCCCAGAAGGTCGACGCTGGGGTGGTTGTGAGCATGCATGCCATTGGACTCCAGCCTGGGCAAAGGAGTGAGTCTTCAACTCAAAAAAAAAAAAAAAGATGTACAATGGCCAACACACATATGAAAAAATGCTCAACATCATTAATCATCAGGGAACTGCAAATTAAAACCACAATGAGATACCACCTTATGCCAGTTGGAATGGCTATTATTATTATTATTATTATTATTATTTTAGTTGGAGTCTTACTCTGTTGCCCAAGCTGGAGTTCAGTGGCACGCTCATGGTCACCACAGTCTCAACCAGTTGGGTTCAGGTGATCCTTCCACCTCAGTATTCCAAGTAGCTGGGACTTCAGGCATGCACCACCCTGCCTAGCTCAATTTAAAATTTTTTTGTAGAAACAAAGTCTCACTATGTTGCCCAGGCTAGTCTTGAACTCCTGGGCTTAAGCATTCATCCCACCTTGGCCTCCCAAAGTGCTAGGATTACAGGCATGACCCACTATGCCTTGCCAACTTCTTACTTAATTATTCTGCTATCATCAGACTCTCCCCCCATTTTTTGCTATTATAAGCTATTCAGCAATGAATATCCTTTACATGTCTGTGACTATATGTGTGTGTGTGTGTGTGTGTGTGTGTGTGTGTGTGTGTATATATATATATATAT